GGGGGGGGGGGGGGGGGAGGGGGGCTTTTTCTGAAGGGCGAGCATAATTTGAGGTCAGCTTGTCCAAAGGGCAAGCTAGAAATCAAGTCAGTTTAAAGCCCTGATGTTTATTAGAGTAGTTGGAAAAATAATTATACAGAATGATGTAATACATGTACTAAGCAGGTGCATGAAAGAATGTTGTGGATAAATTCTTGTATCTCTTATTCAAAAAGTGTTTAGATGGTGTGCTTATCCAGCATTCATGCTTTAGTGGTCAATGACATCTTAATATTAAGGCTCGTATGAGAGAACTGACCTGAAATTTGCCAAATTTATACTAGGGACGAATGATAACTCATCTAGATATAAATTCCATGTTTAAATGAATAGCATTATGGGGCAAAATTGGTCTTGAAACACATCTTAAGGACAAAATTAATAGGCCACTTCCAAATTACCTTATTTGTAAGCCTTTTTCTCAAAGCGAGTCTTGGTGCCCATTCTTTCATAAATATGAAAAAGAGATTTCATTCACATGCAAATTAAACTGATTTTCATATGAATGGTTGTGCACTAGGCCTCACTTTGATAGAGAGGCTCAGGTCAACTCGGAAATGGGCTGTTAGTGAAAGACAAACTTGGCATTTGGATCTACAGTCTCCTAGCTATAAACTTGGCATCAGATAATAGATTGGGCCTTTGTTTTACTTAGAACAATTTATTATTTTTGTCATCTATTTTTGTATGTCAGAAGTGTATTTATGATAATATTGTCAGAGAAATAATCTGTTTTGCTTCAACGTTAGAACTTTCGTTAATTTTATACTTGGTACATGAATGTACTTGCATTATCCTAATTTTTCTTCCAAGGATGCAAAATCTTAACAACTATAGTCTGTCAAGACTATAGTCTTCATTTTATAGACTGAGGTATGTTACACAGTTTATAACAAATGTTGGATGAAGTAAAGTTTTTGTAATGATGATCAATGCATCCGTGTTGTAAGATGGAGAATTAGATTTACAGCCTATACAATTTTGTTGTTTCACCATGGGAAAAATATCGTTGATTTAGCAGAATAAGATTAAGGTAATTATATTTAAGCATAACTATTCAGAGTAGAGAGTTCCAACCCTAAACTTGTAAACCTGATTCACTGTGAGAAAAAGAATACTAGGTTAAATGCATTTATGGTCTACTGAGTCCATAATATTAGTCATAACCCATCAAATATTTTCGCTTGCACACGTTTGGTCTAAACGCATCATGTGACTAAATACTGCCCCAATTTTCTAAAATGCGAAAATAATATATATATATTTGAAAGATGAACACAGTAGCCTCATTTGGCTTACAAATATGCTTGGATATTTGCCCTCAGACATCATCTGTTCTGAGAGGCTAACAGTTTTCCAAGGGCATAGCTCAAGGAAAACTTTGCTTAGAACTTTGAGCTTTGGGGAACAGAGACTGAGAATGTCCACAGGCAAATATCTGTGCATATTTCCACGCCAAATGGAGGTATTGTATCATGGGATTAAGTATCTACACTGCACTCTGTATTGGTTTAGAATAATGTTAATAAACCAAGCTCCCTTGTTTCTGCGCAAAAACAACAACCAGTATTCAGTCTCGGTAAAGCACTCACACAGAGCTAAAAAGGTGTATGCATTTCCTTGAAGATAAACAGCTTTTGGTTTTCATTTTATGGAGTTATTTTACTAGACACTGCATTCAGGTTACTGGGTTTTACTAGACACTGAATTTAGGTTACTAACCCTTTCAACAGCAAGTTCAAAGTTAAATGATTGCTTTATGAAAGCCATACATTTCTTTTGATGTTAGCTTAAGAATTTGGCAGTATGTCAAAGCAATGCCCTCTTGCTGATGAACTTTCATTTCACATCACCTGTCGGCATGTACACAAAAAAATTGTCTTGAAAGAGAATTTTTTTTAACTCAAAATCAAATCCTTGAAGACTTGAGCCAGCTTAGTGTATTTACACTTTTTGCTAGTCTGATGAAAAGAAATGATTGTATCGAAACAGTAATACATTTGAAATACTCCTAGTCGCTTCATGCTACAGAAACCGAGATAAGCTCCGGCCTGATGGGCCACTTGGCTCGCCTGCAGACTTTACCTTACCTTACCTACCATGAAAAGTCCTTATTAATAAATTACTAAGCCCTTGAGAAAGAAAGGTGTAACATCTGTACATGTGTGAACAATGGTCTGTTTGGTTTGTTTGCCTTCACATCAACAAGATCTGAATTGCCCTTGATGTATCCTCTGACACCTCACACTCACAGTGTCTCTGTGTGCCCCAGTACATTGGTGAAGAGTCATTCCCAGTCTTCACGTGTAATTCATGTTTTAAACATTAAGACAACTGGCTGTTTACTGGGATTTTAGAGCAGATGATAGTCGGGTGTGATATATTTATTAGAATGGAGCAACCAAGACCTCCCATTTAGCCATTGCAGACCAACCAAATACCCAGTAGGTGAGAAATCAGAACTGGTAGAGAGTAAGCCTGAAATAAATGACACAAGCATGTAGGATAAGTTAGGGGAGTTCCATAGTCCAGTTCTGGCCCCCTCTCTGTTGTGCAGTCTCTCTCTCTCTTACACAGCATTGCTCCTTGAGATGATTGCTCGTGGCTTGCACACATTACCAAAACAAGTCTGTACAGTTTGACTGCAGGAATTTCAAGATAAATACCGCAAGAAGTCACATGGGCTTCACAACTGAACAAGGAAACCTTTAAATTCGATAAGACAAACCCATGACAATAGTCGACTATTGAATTTGTTTAATAACATTAAATTTCATTAAACTTGTTTGTATTTACATCTCTGTTAATAGGTTATAGCATACCTGTAGGTTTAATTACGTTTTTTTACAGTATCGTGCGTTTAACATTGCTTTCATTGACAACAGTATCTTAAATAACCAAGTTTTAATATGATCCTTGACTGGCAAGTTGTTTGTAAATTTCCAATTTTTTTCTTTTCTTTCTTTTTTTTTTTTTTGCAACGAATTGATCGAAAGTTCTAAATTGTTCGTTACACTGATTAGTCTCCCATTCCGTCGATGCACTTAATTTTTTTGTAATAAACTTAATACTATTGATTTTCCTTTGTCACAATAATTTCGTCTTCAGTTCTATGTGGACTAACTTTTCCTGAAATGAAATGAAGTGTCTCTTCAAATTTTGTAGATACACTTAAAGCTTCAGGAATCCCCGTCGTGTCAGTGACAGCGGTGGTCGTATTGACCTTATCATGATCCTCGCTTCCATCAGTTATCTTTTCTTCCACCACTTGATCATGAATTTTGTTTATTCCCCCATCATCCTCGCATTCACCATTTTTAGTTTGTTGTCTTTCTTCAGATTGAAAGTTGCGCGCGTTTTCCCCTGTGACACTATCTTCGACCACAAGATTCCTTTCAAACTGGTTGCCCTCCACAACCCCTCCCTCCAAAGACAACCGGACATTCTCAGCGAAAACTTCCAAATCTGTGTCAAATTCGGGATCGAACCAGGGACTCAGAGGGTCCTCTAGATTTGGATTGTACAACAGGAACAACAGTCCCTGGATACAGTCTTCTAAAGTGTTAGTTTCAGCCCACTCGCTGAACAAATTCAAGCAAATTTCACCGTTTTCGTCGATGTTGGGATGGTATATCTGCGTGCTACATGTGACAGTCGGGGCTTTCAGCGGATAGTCTTGGACTCTTATTTCGAATTCGAACTTTCCCCCGCAGTAAAGGCCGTCATTCGGAGTGATTTCCACCTTGAATTCATCCAAATTTTCTTCGTACTGGGCAACGTTTGCTTGATTGTTCGAAAAACTAGCGATGTTTTTCATAAGTTTGTGGAAATCTTTAGCCAACATCCCACACATTTTGCTCGCGAAGGTGGGTTAAAAACACAGAAATAAGCTTGAATTCAAACTGAATCGACCGTTTGTTCACGGAATTTTCCTTGTCTTCATCTGTAGTTTGTAGCATGTAGAAATGCTCGCTAGACGTCAAACTGCCTCTTTTGTACCGGCACAATTTCACCAGCTCCGCAAATTTTAACTTTGATGGTGCAACTTCGTGCCACCTTCGTGCACAACAATCTCACAACAATAGTTTCTCTTAGGAGAACCAATCAGAACGCGACAAGCTCGATTGCATCATCTGTCAAATTAGACCTCACTTGCACGTAGGGGAATACCCTTCGCTCACCCCTCACAAAATTACGCGAGGTTCCAAAAATATTTTACGTTTTAAAGCTTCTCAAAACAATATCAGCTAAGCTTAATAATAAAAAAAAAAACCCCGGAGATGAAATTGCAGTCATCAAAAGAATTTGCACTGAATTGAACTGACTAAAATGCTTCGGAGTAAATAAAACAGAAACGTGACTTTTCCGCATCAAAATGCTATTTTCCGGGCTCGTCTCATTCAGAAATGTTTATTACGACAAATATCTGAAGATTAATGGAATATCAAATATTGTGTGCACATTCCAAATCCAGATTTATTCACTGAACAAAAGATGAAAGGAAACACAACTAACAAGTATATTTTTGTTTTGTTAAAAAAAAAAAATGTAATGAAAACAAAATTTGAATAAAATGCGCCAGCGATCAAACCCCTACCCTCCTCCCCTGGGGTGAACGAGTGACCGGTATAAACTAGAGTTTGACATGCGTTTAATTTACAGCAGTTTCGGCGAAGTCGCGTGGAGAACACTTGTTAAGATGGTTCATTGGAGAATCTTCTCTTTCCTATTTATTGGTTACGTATTGAAAGCAGTAGTAGCAGCATCAGACAGCGGCAGTTTAGCGGATTTAGCGAAAATTCTCTCGCAATTGGCCGGTGGAGNAGAATCTTCTCTTTCCTATTTATTGGTTACGTATTGAAAGCAGTAGTAGCAGCATCAGACAGCGGCAGTTTAGCGGATTTAGCGAAAATTCTCTCGCAATTGGCCGGTGGAGACAATTGTGTTTTTCGATGTCCGAAAGGTAAGCTTACGTATTCACCGATCGATTCTTCAACGATTTCTTTGTAAATAGCTTACTTATCAACATATTAAGTCCTTGTGGAGTCTTAAGGTTAGATTTCGAGATTCGTATGTCATAATTCTTCCTGTTTTTAATATACAGGAACTACAAAGTAGAAAGTGCTTACAATATAAACCCGAGTTGGGCTTGCGGCTTTGGTCTGTTACACAAATAGACGAACGAGTGAGTTGGCTATTAACGATCTCCAAATTTCCCCGTGTAACTTAATTAATTTGATATTTTGACTCAGTGGATTTGTGATTTATTCTAGTTTTCTTTGGGCCAATAAGTTTACGAACTTATCGAGTTGAACGTTATAAGATGCCAACAAGCCACCCTAAAAAATAACTAAGTTATTTAAATTCAACACAGCTGTGATTTTATAAATTACTTCGACTTTTGTCGGATCAAAGTAATGAACGAGCAAAACAACTAACCCAACAAGTCTGCTGTAATGTATTTTTTTCACAGCAGCTTTTATTTTAATCAGATGACTTGGTGGACTCTGATTGGTCACCTTAATGATTATTTATTCACCTGCAATTTATGATGTCCCAAGAAAAACAATTCACTTGTAAAACATCATGTTCCACATTGCTAAATTTACCTTTTAGACTATAAAATGTCACTTAATGTCTAATATAGCATAAGACAAGATATCAACACTTCTTTATAAATGTGTGGTTTCTGTTAATTTCTGCAGACTAACTATCATGTATTACAGCAAATTGCTAACGTGACATCGTACAGGCCAGATTGGTATTACATTTTATTTCCAACAATAGAATATCTATCTTTTGGGAAGTGTTCTTTTCTTAGGGAAATATTGCCTTTTGTTAGTCCCCAATGAAAGTGATTGATTAGCTCTTGCTTCTGGAGACACTGGTAACTAGGCAATACAACAAGACTCAAACCTCTCTGCCAGAATTGGCTTTGTTTTTAACAATTCTATTCTGCTTCTAGGGTATAAACCTCTTGCTAATCCAAAACACAAGCCGTCAAGTGATGGATGTGGCTCCATGGGAATCAAGGTAGATATTAATATTATCCAATCTCGTTCCCAGAGCCCACGTGTCTTTTGGTCATTGGCAAGACACGGAGCTCTGGAATAATCATATTCCAGACTCCAAGATTTTAGGGGTTCCGGTTTCATGCCACATGCGTGCCCTGGTTTAAAACATGGCAATCTTGTTCTCAGAGCCCACGTGTCTTTTGGTCAGCACCAACCAAAAGACACGTGGGCTCTGGGAATGAGATTGAATATTATCAGACTCTGTATTTAAAACTTCTTCAAAGGAGCTATTCATCACAGATGGTGAATCTTGGAAATAGAACTTAATTTTTTCAAGTTCATATATTTTGTAATCCACAATAGTATCCACCATTTTAAACAGCTTTTTTGTAC